TTGTACTATCTCTGCAATAGAGAATCCAATGGTTGAAAAATTCTATAATGGTAGTCCTAAGAATTCTTTCAAGACTAGGTGGTATCAACATATCTTGTATTTCACCAATAGTACTTACAGAAATAATTCATCACTTTCTAAATATTTTTAGAGTTTAAAAGATGATAATAAGATTCCTAATCTGAAATCGAAAATTTAAAAAAATGGTAAGGATATGTTGATGTTTATATGAACCCTGGTTTTTGTGCTTACATGAAAAACTAGAGATTATCAGATTCAATAAAAATTTCTTATTAAATGAAAGGAATAAATTAAAAGTAAATTGTAAACATACTTTACCATTTAACTTCTAATTTAGTTAAACTTTGGAATTTGATTATGCTTTTTCTTATATTTTAGTTGGACTGCGTTGCACCAGATATGGCTTATGCTTCTATTTGTAAGATTAATTTGGATTTAATATAATTTTGTATTAATCTCCTGGTAGTATTAGTAACATTTTGTACGGATGTATAGTTATTTAGTTGGTATTTTTGACATTTTACATTGATTGGTTAGTTTTATTAACATTTTATATGAAGGATATTTCTTCAACGGGTGCATATTAATTTATCAAATAATTCTATGTTTAAATTATTTACTAGTTTCTTAAAGAAGCTATTTATCAACTATGAAAAATTTTATGTAGGAAACTCACAAAGCACATAACTTGTTTAGCATTTTATTAAATTAATTCTCCACACCATTTTCATTTATTAGAAAATGGCATTGTCTAGTTTGTATAATTTATATATCCATTAACATCCGCTCTAGATTATGTCTGGCTACCGTTAGCTACAAATCTAATGGTCATGACCCATTTATAAAAAATAATTTTTAAAATTTAGCTTCTTCGCTTAGTTCAAATTTAACGTAGGTCATATTTGATTGGTTAATCAGAGTAAAACCCATAAACCTTATAACTCGCCTTTTTTGCCTTTTTCGTAAAAAGAGGTTGTATTTTGGTTTTAAATATAAATAAATCGTTCACTCGTCAGTAATTTACAATCGTCTGCATAGATGCATTGATACGCATTAAAACGCGACTGCAGTTGTGTAGAGATTTTGATATTTTTTTGGTGTAATATCTAATATATATATATATATATATATATATATATATATATATATATATATATATATATATATATATATATATAATGGGTGTGTGTTTGGGTAACAATTTTTCATTCATACAAGTTTGGTTAAAGATCTAAAATAATTCTTTCTTAAGGATTATTTTACTTATTTGTTTCTTTATTACGGATCACTTCATAGGTTTCTGGTACATATTTAAATATAAATTATTCTTATCACTATGTATTATCAAATACGTTTTTATGCGGTATGTCAGTTTCTTCATTTTTAATATCGCGTTTCCGGTTTAAAAATCTCACAGCACGAACCGACATGTTAACACACAGATACGCGATATTTGACAAAACCGACATATAACACGCATAAAAAAAAAAAAAAAGCAACACGCAATAATTGTTAAAAATTGATAATGGCTAGTGACAGCCAAAAGTACTTAGATCTTGGCCAATTTATATTCAAATATGTACCACAAACCAGAACCCCCCCACAAAAAAATAAATAAATAAAAATTATGCATATTTCTTTAAATATGACGGAACAAAAATATCTGTTGATGTTTTGATTTCCTTTTTCTTTTTTTCGTCGGAGCAAATTTTCCTTTTTTCATGATTTTGTCTGTAGAGAAATTGCCATTGCATTCATATTCCCTGTGCACTTTCAGTAAACAATTCTGCCATTTTCAAGGCGTACACGGTGAGGAGTATGAATTTTCCATGCTAACGAAGTTAAATCATATATTTTTGTTTTGTTCTCTATAATGTGTTTGTTTTCCCGAGCGATTTCGCTTTCAAAATGTCCTGTGAGTGTTAAGTTTTCCAAGCCGTCCTTTTTCATAGTGCCTCAAAGAAATTTTAGCAGTCTCTTTCTGTCTTTCTAGCTTGCATTTTGTTTAGAACTTTCTAATCGATGACATGTTTGTCTACATGTCTATAGCAATGTTTTTCAACCAGTGTTCCCCGGAAACTTAGGGCACCGCAAGAGGTCACTATCAGGTGCGCAAGAGGTCACTATCAGGTGCACGAGAGGTCACTATCGATTAGACTATGAGGCGCGAGAAACATTGATAAATAGGCTAATGCATTTTGAGTACTATTTGATTAATTCTAAATTCTTAATTTTGCAATACACGTAAGGCATATTCTTGAAAAATCCTTGGTTATTACAATAAAAGCTTCAATATCTTTTATTATTTCAAGTTGTTATAATCACAGGGAATGTATTTAGCGATGTCTCTACGGCGTCCGTGTGAAACCGCCTTCACTAGTCAGTAGACAGGACATGTACATTGTGATGAGGAGGGAGCAATTAAAATTCAAATTTTAAAATAATTGAAAAAATTAAGGATTTTAAAAGTTTTTAAATTAATATTGAGTTTAAAGAAACAAAAACTTTGTAAATTTAAAAAAAATATGTTTTGAATTCAGTTTAAAATATTTCTAAAACTTTGTGAATTGAGGAAATCAGTTATACTAGGGTGGTCAGAAAGTCCTAGCCCAGGAAGTGGGACAAAAACCCAACAAATCTTGATCCGGTGGAATTTCCAAAGAGTACTGCATTTTGAGCCTATTTCAGATGGATCGCACTATCAACGCTAAACTCTATTGCCAGAAGCTAGACCGCGTTTACGACAAACTAAAGAAGGAGTATCCTGCTTTGGTCAATCGAGGTTGGACTTTGTTTCAGCAAGACAATATGAGACTACACACTGCCAGGTTGACTAAGGAGAAATTCAAACAGATGGATGGTATTGGGATTCTTCTACATCCACCATTCAGTCTCAATGATGCTCCGGGTGATTATGGTCTATAATGCTCAATGGCACACTTCCTCCGCTACCAGGGATTCAACATTTTTGAATAAGTTTACAGTTTTTTGATTCAAAGCCAGCGGATTGGTATCTGGGACAGATTCGGATGCTGGCTGATCGCTGGCAGATCGTCAAGAATGATAGACTTTATTTTGAAGAATAAATGTGATGATCCATAAAATTTGTATTTTTTCTTCCCGCTTCCGAAGTGAGTCATTACTTTCTAGCCAACCTAATATTTCTTCAAAATGCCAAGGAATCATAGTTAAAGTGAAAGGTTTCGTGTCGTGAGATTTTGAAGTCCCGCAGAGTTTGTCAATTGAAGGACAACACAATTGATGTTCTATAGAGTTTGTGATTTGAAGAGCTGAATTTTCGGTAGGAATTGGAATTTCAGCTTAAATCGGAGTTTCGGTCCAAATTAGCCCTCCGCAAGAGCTAACTTAAAAGTCCGCTTGGATTGCAGCTTTTAAGTTAGTTAGTAATAAAAAAAAAATAAAAATTCTTATCATTAGACGCCATTAAGAAAACCTTTACAGGAAACTTAATATTTAAAACAAAAATACTTACTGCCTATAATCAAAAGCCAGGTCAGCGATCATCTTTCTCCGAGCTCGGTACACTTTGTCGCAGAAGCCCTATAAAGAACAATGATACATGACAAAATAATCAATTCTTTTTGCACATATTTAACAATTTCAATGTATGATATTTAAAAAATAGAAGGTGTCTCCATAAAATTGAAATTATTTAAAATGGGAATATCTGAGTAACTGCATGTCCCAGGCAAATGAAATCAAATAAGCTTCATATTGAACAATAAAAGATTTATTTACCAAAATTCGAACACGATTTCACAAAGCGCACCAAACTTCATCAGTTTAGCCAAGTTGTTGCGTAACATTCATCAACGCCTCAGTGAATCTTTTGCTTAACAGCGTGAATACAGACATTAACATATTTGGAAATGTATATATATATATATATATATATATATATATATATATATATATATATATATATATATAGGTATAACTCCCATGAATAAACAAAAATTCATTTTATTATTACTACTCATGATTACCTCTTAATTGCTGGCGTTCCCAGGTCCACCCTGACCCGGGTGGTAGCACCAGTTAGGGCTTTAATGGGCTTTAATACCAGGAATACTTTGTAAACAAACAAAAAAAATATCAGCAATAAATTTTTGAAGAAAAAACTATTACCAGCAATAGACTTTACGTTTTTTCGTATTTTTCCAATGAAACATAACCCAGTGCACATGTTAGTATTTCGTATGTCCATTCCACGAAGTCGTTTCTTGAAGATTGATAACAGATTCCCGATCGGATTAAAATCAGGAGTGTTGTTTCCGGACTAGTCTATAGTACTTAGATTTGATAAGGCTTGCCAGTGTTCACGTGCAGCGTTACAATATTCCTACGCTTTCTAGGAGTAACGTCCATTGCAGACAATGGCCGTAACACAACTAATCGACAGTCGAGACAATAGTGTCCGGGCGTGATAAAAATCTTATGCAATCACGGATGACCCAATATTTTTCAAATTTCATCATACACTCCGAAAATAGATTCATATTACTACACACCACTGCAAATGACCTAATCTGAGGAAAAAATAGAAATCGATTACACTCTGTCACTCCAGTGGGTCTAAATAGCGAAAAAAAAACAAACAAAAAACTCTTACACAGATGTGAAATTTGAAAGATACATACATTTATTAAATGATTAAAAAATAATAATATAGAATAGAAAATTTCAAAAACAAGCTTGTACAAGGCTGAAAAGATTTATTTGTTTTTACGGTTTGCCAACCCTGTGCAGGTTATTTAAAGCAAGAAAATATTTTTAGATTGTAAGAATTTTTCAGAAATAATGATTTTACTGATACTAATTAAGAAAAGAAGTGGATTCATAACTTTCCTAGGGGTGCTTACGTGTAAGTAAATAAAACAAACCCGACTGGAATTGGAACACGGCTCTCTGATTTCCAATTCCGAGTCATTATCCATTACACCATCCGCACACCCAAGCTTACAGCACCTGGTATTCCCAAGCAGTCACCAATCTAGGTACAGACCAGGCTCGACGTTGCTCAAGTTTGGTGATCGGACGAGAACCAGTATTTCAATGTGATATGGCAGAAAGCCAAGACTGAAAAGTAAAGATTGAGCAGCGCCAATACAGATATGGTAGCGATACTCCATTTTTAGACGAATGTTTATGAGGATAAGAAAAAAGAAGAGATATTAATAGTTCTACACAGAGATAGAGATTGGAAAGAACTGAAGGGACTTATGTAGGTGTATCAATAAGGAATTAACCTAATGTTGAAAAGTAATTCATTTACCACACAAAAAAAAATCTATTTATTATTCACCATAATCTACATTCGTGTCAATCGACTTCATTCATTAAATACAAAGATCGAACATAACACAGTTCAAATATCTGCTCAAAAGTCAACGAATAACGGCGTATCAAGTGACAGAATTCGTGATCCACGCACGTCGAGATAGATAGATAGATAGATAGATAGATAGATAGATAGATAGATAGAATAGAGAGAGAGAGAGAAGAAGAAGAGAGAGAGGGAGAAGGGAATTAAACCAAGCCAGACATATGAATAAACTAAATATAAATAACTGAGATAGATGCATCGATATGAATAAAGCGAGACAAATATAATTAAACTAAGATATATATATATATATATATATATATATATATATATATATATATATATACTAGAGATATATATACTAGAGATAGTTACAAAAAGAGAGAGAGATGAGTAAAGTGAGACAAAGTTGAATAAACCGATATAGATAGATACATAGATATTAATAAAGTGAGACAAATAAACTAATATATATATATATATATATATATATATATATATATATATATATATATATGCACATATATTAGAGATAGAGACAGACATGAGGAAAGTGAGAGACAAAGTTAAATAAACTGAGATAGATAGATACATATGAATAGACTAAGATAGATAGATAGATAGATAGATAGATAGATAGATAGATAGATTTCACATTTCTAAGTTATATTTATTATTTCGCCGACTCTTTCATAGGAACGAATTTTCCCGACAAGGCACAGACGGAGAAACCTCCGAACTGAGTGCCCTATTTGAATCTGTAGACATTTTTTTTTTAATGCGAAAAACAAAACAGAATCAGACGAGAGAAAGGAAAAAGAATTCCACCTGTCAAGCAAAAATGAAGAAAAAAAAATCGAAAAAGATGTTAACGTGATGACTTTTAAAATGAAGAAAAAATAAGCTCAAAAGTAAAAGAATCGTGATTTTTCCATTTCGATCACGGAGCACATTCATTCTTTACCGGTAAATATGCAGACAAATTCTTACGGATAAACTTTTCGAATGTCGTCAAGATGGAGGTTCAACAGTGTTACAATAGGTAGGTTACGTCATTGGAAAAAAGACCGCAGTGGCAAATAAACTTTTCCCCCCTCCAAGAGCACGTAAAAGATTATGAATTCAAGGCGGAAAGTAAACAGTGAGCAGTGCCAATCAAAATATGATAGCAATACTCCATTTTTAATATAGTGATTAAAAGGATGAGCAGAAACGAACAGATATTGATAGATTTGCGCAGAGATAGTGATTGGTAGAACTGAGGGGAATTATGTAGGTGTATCAATAAGGAATTAAACTAATGCTGAAAAGTAATCTATTTATCACAAAAAATAATCTATTTATTCTTCACCATAATCTCCATTCATGTCAATGGACTTCATTCAGCAGAGACTATTAATTACATAGATCGAACATAACACAGTTCAAAATATCAGCTCAAAAGTCAACGAATAGCGACGTATCAGACTACAGACCTCGTAATCTATGCACAGATAGATAGATAGATAGATAGATAGATAGATAGATAGATAGACATATGAACAGAATAGAGATAGATAGATAGATAGATAGATAGATAGATAGATTACTCCCTAACATCTCTTAAGTATTCTCGGATTATATGATCGTTTTCCCCAAGAAAACCCAAGACAAATGATATTGTGTGACATGATACTTATCGCGCCAAAAAAACTGGAAACGATTCAATACAGAAAACGTCTGAGTTAAATCAATGTCATTTAAAAAAAAAACCCGTTTTTAAACCTCTTAGAATGTTTTTTATCGCAAAAAAATTCTTTGTCGTATTCTCATTTTAACACTAATCTACTTGGAGCTTATTTAACGCATATCCACCTGGCGTCATTTTAAACTGACACTTTCCATATATGTAATTATATCCACTATACTTTTGACACGTGAGAGAGGAGTTTCAGTTATGACAGTCCAAAGAGCAGTGACAAAAGACTTGAAAATAAAATCGAACGTGAAATGTCTGAGGCACCTTGTTACTCCAGAACAGAAAATTAGAAGGTTAGAGTGGACGAAGATTATCTTAAATAAGTTGAAAAATGATTCTGGAATAGTATATATATATATATATATATATATATACATATTTGAACTTCATTTCAATTCTTCATGAGCTTCCTATCCTTAGCTATGATTAATTAATGATAAACATATCATTTTCGTTTATGATCGATTTCATCACGATTCTTCTGTTAAGCTTGGAGAGAAATTATACATTCTTATTGCTCCAAAAGAGTCGAATAGTGTTATAAAAAACTCGAAGAATTCCAGTAAGATATCTTTATGTCTAAAATATATCGTTTTAGAGCTTAATCTAACAACTAGGCTATTTTGCTGTTTCTAAAAAACTCAAAGAATTCCAGTAAGATATCTTTATTTCTAAGATATATCGTTTTAGAGCTTAATCTAACAACTGGACTATTTTGCTGTTACACTCGGTATATATTTAGAAACTAATAGACATTCCTTGGAGCTGAATCACGTATTTATCCCCAGAACGCACATAAAGCCGAGAAAGAAAACCTTTCAATATTAAAAGTTACTAATGGACACGGGGTCGTATGCTTAGAACTTTCGTTGTCTAACCATAAGTCCCGGGTTCGATCACTTTTGTAAAATGCCTGAAAACTTTGTGAGTGAAATCCAGCAGACAGAACTATTTGAGAGCCATCGGTGGTTGTACTAGCACGAAATTGCAAGCCATCGTGACTGAGGGTTTGAGCGTACTGCCTTTGTTTAGACTGTTGATCACTTTAGATAAGGCGCTCACTCCGAAAAACTGTAACAACGGTTCGTTCAGCATAGTTGCAGTATAAACTATAGGTGTGCTCTGTGGGTGTAGAACAGACACAAATGCGCTTGAGCAGGCGTCTGCAATATTGGTTGTCTAGTCGCCCTAATAGATTGGTATGCCCGGGTATGAGCGGCCATTTATTACATTACAAGTCACTTCATTGTCATAAGTTTACAATAAAGCAAACATTCTTTATTTTGTAACTTAGGGAAGGTTACTGAATAGAATAATCAAACGAAGGTTGGTAATGAACGATAATACTTAGGACAAGAACAACACATATAAGATTCGCCAGCGATGCGTAGTAGTAGTAGTAGTCAACTTCTAGAAGTGTGTCAAATGAATTCCACAATGAATCTCCAACTGCAGAATATCTGCCAACCACCCCACGTGGTCATATGTGGCACAAGGCCGAAATTAATATGGGGGTATCCGAGCCCGTAGGCTCAGACAAAAATTGCCTGTAGACCCCATATAAAACGGAGCCAGGCAGCTGTTTCCTGAGACGAGACTCTGCCATTCGACATTGCCTCGTCTGGGGACCCTCTCTGCCCAGAGGCAGAGAGTTTGACCAGTACAGCTGGAGACGAATCTCCAACTGCAAGATATCTACCAACCACCCCACGGTCATATGTGGCACAAGGCCGAATTTAATGTGTGGTATCCGAGCCCGTAGGCTCGGACAAAAATTGCCCGTAGACCCCGTTTAAAACGGGGTCTGGTAGCTGCTTCCCGAGACGAGAGTCTGCCCTTCGACATAGCCTCGTCTGGGGATTCTCTCTGTCCGGAGGCAGAGAAGTTTGACCAGCATAGCTGGAGACGAATTTATTACCAACCTTCGTGTGATTATTCTATTCAGTTACCTTCCCCAGATTACAACAGAAATACAGACATCAAACAATAGAAATGTGTATTTTTACATCAATTCACCCTAAGCAAGGGGATAATACCACTAAGAAGCAAAGGGATTTGGGAGGAACTGGAAACCTAATTCTAAAAAGAAAACAAGAAATAAAACTTTACTCCTTTTCAAGAGACCTTGGAGAAGTGTGAACCGTACGATAGGCGAAGTGAATGTGAGTAACGACACAATTATAAAGAAAATAGAAGCAAGAACGGCGCTTATAATCAGAAGGAGTTTGCAGAAATTTCTAAGATACATAATCAATAAAGAAGGTTTGGAGAATTTGAAACACACAGGACATATTGAATCAAGAGGCTAACAGCTAGTAAACCTTGTGCGGAAGAGAGATTGGGAGAAATGATGAAAAGAGAAACATCAATAAGTGCTAAAATCTATAGAAAGAGCCCAAAACATCAACTTTCTTAAGGGATATTGAACAAAAAATGAAGGATAAAGTCACCATGGTCAGAAATCTTTTCGTTAAGAATTTTCATTTCATTCTGCAGAAAATAAATTAATTAGGTTTATGGTCTCTTTTTGTTAATAATGGTGAATATACTTAACGTTCGTTTTATTTGAACAGCCATTTCTTCCCTCTCTAAGTATATTACTTACCATGTAATATTTTATACATTGCTGCAATAAGATTTATGCTTGAGAATTGTTTTCTTCGAGTTTTGATTGTCCGTTTTCTTGGCACCTCGACTCATTAATACGACACGGGCCGAAATAAACTGATATTAGTTAATAATAGTAACAATCATTAAGAATATAAGGTTAATTCCACACCAGAAATAAAAAAGAAGAAACATACCGGATGGTCGGTGTCTAGTTCCGGTTCAAATTTCGTAATTAAGTGTGTGCATTTGTCCAACTCGTTTATGTGCCGCGGAAACCAAATGTCTGCAAATAAAAAACAACAAACGAAATATTACATATATATATATATATATATATATGGTGCAATGCATAAATTGTCATCTAAATGACGCGAAAATAAAAATAACACTTGCATCTCATTTAATATATATACGAAGATTACAGAAAAATAATAAAGAGTAAATTTATACAATAAAATCGCCATTGGCTTTACCCACGTTCTCCAGGAGACATGGGAATCCTCTGTAACTCTTCTAGGCAGTCACCCTGATTAAGTTCATCAATGCTGCCACAATACTTGCCTTCAGTTCGTTTTTGGTATTACAAGGAGTTTTGTTGGTATCTTACTCAACTGCGCCCCACACAAAGGGGGTTGCAGTCTGGGGAGGGAATTAGGCGGCCATATGTAATTAGATGTGGTCGCAAAAATTGTCTGACAGCTATGACTGGGTTCTCCTCTTTGTGTATCATGATGCAGTGTTCTGTTGCTAGATATAGGGTCTTCCAGCAGCCAGCCTTTTGACCCAGAGCAGCACTACCGCCTTAAGGCATTTGATGTAAGTCTCCGTGTTGAGTCTGCAGCCCTGCGTGAAGATGCATAACGTCGCTATCACTAGTGAGCACTCCAAACACGTTTGTAATCACCATTAGACTCATCCAACTCTTTCCAAATCCTCTGCCCTGTCCTCAGATTGACACCCAAACACTCTGAAGTGATCGTATTAGAGCTTCTCGCTCGAATGCCAAGCAGCACAGAATGCTGTTTCCAAATTTCTGGTGGAGTGAATTGCGTCATGGTGCTCTTTTTCTTACAGACGGTGCCCAACTGACCCTACTATACTGTGCAGTCGACAAAATTAAAAAAAGCAACACGCATGCGCGAAATTAAAAATATAAAATGGCAACAATTTCCCCATCGCACACTTTGTGTTTGTGAGTATGTATATATATATATATATATATATATATATATATATATATATATAAACAAAGTAAGTAAATAATAAACAAATCACCAACCTACGAATGCACACATAATATTTAAATACATTTAATAATAATAATCAACAACAAATAAGTAAGTAATGAATTTTAAATAATGAGTAAAAAGTTAACAACAACACTAAAAATTCTTACAAATAACCGCATTCCTATTTACAATTATTTTTATTCAATATCCTCGAGAATAACTGTCACCACCTACTCAATAATCGTCAGGATAACACAAAAAACCTTCTACCCATAAACCAACAAACACACATGGCCTGAAGAGTATGTTCTAGCATGAAACAGATTGTCGCCATTCGGTGTTGAACTTAGGGTCTACTATTATATTTACATATGCTCTATCCCTGATATTAAGCATTTTACTCATAAATATAGCAAACCTTAAAACTACATTGTTATTACGACTCTTAATGTTATTCTTAGTGGATAATCATGCTTAAGAAAAAGTCTAATATGGTGATCTATGAGGTAATTCGAAAAAACCGTTATTGACTAGCGTTTGTTTCACGTTGTTAAGTTCTTTAGTGGACATATTAGGAAAGTGGACAAAGGATGAATTCTCGCGCGCTCTCAAGAGGAAATTTTTGTAGCGCCTATTTTATGTATATTGACTAATAAAATTAAGATGGCAAGTATATCTACTTGTGGATTTTTTTGTTTAACGAAGTAGAGAGTGTGTTATTACTAGACATCAAAAGAACATTCAAGAATGGCAGTTTATGTTATTTTTATAATCCAACATAATATATATATATATATATATATATATATATATATATATATATATATATATATATATATACGTGATATTCGAAACACTGCTCTTTGCAACCACGGTTTCCGCCGAGATGACTAGATCAGGCGACAAGTTGCCAAGTTGCCTGACGAAGCCATTTCGACAGAAACTGTGGTTGCAAGAAGGTCAGTGTTTCTGATATCGTGCATTTTTGCATTACATTTCCGCTCTTAGTGTTGTGCATTCTTTTAATTTGGCCATTTTTTGACGAATATCATTTTGGCAAAAATTAAATTCATAATTATATATATATATATATATATATATATATAGTCAAACTTAATGAGCCAGACTAACCTGGCTTTCCCTGACAATCCGCTTAGGTGAAGCCTGGGTAGGTTTGTCTGGCTCATTATGTTTGACTAGGTCTGCTCTACGGTTGTATTGAGCTCTTTTTAGTTAGTTGTTTACTCGTGTCTGGTTTTTTCTTTGGGCTTTGAACCTGTATGTGCGATTTTTTCGACAGACTTTCATGTTCCTAGCTCTTTCTTTATATATATATATATATATATATATATATATATATATATATATATATATATATATATATTTCTTTATATATATATATATATATATATATATATATATATATATATATGGTTAATGATGTGTTTGGTAATCCGTATGGATAATTCCAAGGAGGATATAATTCAGAGAGCTCAATGTAAAAACAGACCAAATATTAATAGTTATTAAGAAACAGACAACTTTAAGGTTTCATGATGATTATAATTTATTTCACTAGGAACGAAATTCGATCCTAATTTCTCATATCGACCATTTTCATGCAAATAAATGGGTGACAAATATTCCAGGCATAAGCATTATCATTTTTTTTTTTTACTTATGCACACATTTGTTTAAATTGGTAGCAGGAGTGGTTGAAGGAGATATATATCTCTCGAAATGGATATGGTGATTGAGTGAGTGGAAGACGAAAGATGGGAAACAAAATTAGGAAAGAAAAAAAATGAAATAAAGAAGCAAAGAGATAGTTGTATTCAAATCCATCTTAATAAAGAGACATATAATAATGATGGTGGTGATGGGCATGCTGACCAATTTAGCAAGTATATCCACAGAAAAATGGAAGAGAAACTTAGAAACAAAAGTGAAAAAAAAAGATAGAAAGAAAAAAAATATATAGAAATTAGACCAAAGATTTTCTATTCATTTTTCTTTTAGTCGATTGTTATGACTAAAATGTTTATCTATTAAATTTAAAAAGAATTTGCGAATCAAAGTTTTTCTATTATATATATATATATATATATATATATATATATATATATATATATATGAAAATTTCTCTGATTTAACCAGTAGATAAACTAGTAATTGCTAACGCGTTTCGTCCAATGTGGACTTTATCAAAGCAAAATACGAAAATGAAATTAATTGAACAAAGTAACTAATAAAAACAAAAACAGAATGTACCTAGCAACTGGAATGTAGAGAAACGCGATTTTCATATTGTTAACTGAAAAATAACGTTAGTATTTGTCACGCGTGGAGAATATTGTCATTATATCTGTGTTGATGTATTCAACCCTTTTCTTATAATTTTATGAATCTGTTGTGCATATTTGTTAGTAAGAGCAGTAATTTTGTTAAGAAAGGTGAAATGGGGAAAAACCTGGGCGTAGATTAATATTTGGGTAATTTTCTATGGCGGCACTCTCTAGAATTTTCCTTCTGAGTGAGTTATTTTCTTTTTTTATGAGTGTAGCATTTTTAAAATCAAAATTATGGTTGAAAAAAAAACTTAGTTAATGCACTAGTCATACATAGAAATAAATTCAATTTTATTTTTTAATCTCAAATTTATATGTGCGTATATGTATGTATAAAATTCTTTTCATTTTTCATTCAAAATATACTCTATTTTAGGAATGCGTTTTCACAACATCGCCGACGTGACGCCGACGTGATAATATTGAAACGGAACGCTGATCTTAAAAAATTTCAGTTATCTGTTTTGATTAGTCTTACTCTTATGTCCATCATCTTTTCATGTTGAATAGAATAAAGTCTAATGTTAATTATATTTTATGAATATGTCCCGAAGAAGGTCTACTCGACCGAAACGTCCGACGTTGACATTATATTAACATTAAAACAGCATAATTGTATATTAGGATTTTTGTTTGTTTTTTCCGTATATTTTTCTTCATACTGTCGGATCTATATCCATATATTTATATATATATATATATATATATATATATATATATATATATATATATATATATATATATATATTATTATGTATTTGGGCAGCAGTCTGTTTAATTCTTGTTTTGTTTTACATTACAGGATAATAATCGTTTGTTAAATTTTTTTATTATAGTTTTCTTGTATGCGAACAAGTTTTTTCTTTTCTGTACTTAATGGGTGTAGAAATTGTTCAAATGTTTGCTCAGTCGCTTTCATCTAATAAATGTTTTGTAAGTACTATTTTAGACAGTCTAAAAGTTGCTTAGAACTAGTCATCTTCGTCATTCCTGGATATAACCATATTTTCTTGATTATACATGTTTTAATGGAGCTCTTTTTTCATGTTAAACGTCACGACAATGTTGTTTTAGTGGATTCAATGTATGTGTTTGAAATGTTATTAGAAAAGCATTCCCTAATCTTGCATTTTATTTTTGTAATAAATGATAATTTTACTTCGTTTATTTTTGTCATAAGTCGAGCTGTATCTATGTATTAAATTTCTGCTTATTTATTTATTTATTTTGACTAGTTTGTGTTTACTGGTTAGTTTAATGTTTCTGGACATCATTTCAGGGCACACTTGTAGAATAACTAAGTCTCTGTGGCTTACTTTAAATTTGAACAAAGAAAAATTAGTCGTAAAATTTGACAATGGGAATAAAATAAACAAGTCTCCTGAAATAATCATTTATTTTAAAGTCATTACATTGTATATTTAAATGACACAATTTTCATTTAAACTGATTTATGAAGAATCTGCTATAAGACGCCGATAATGACTGATTTAAATCCCTCGAGGAAGGCAAAAGAGAAAGTATTACTCCCCCGCTTAAAGATTAAGAAACTTAGTTCTGACTTGGTATTTTACAATAAGAACAATTGTTGGTTACAACCTAAAGCAGTATTTCTCATTTTTTTTAAATCCAGGGCGGCACTTGTAGAATAACTAAAACTTTTGGAGGCACTTTAAATTTTAATAAAGAAAAATTAGTCATGAAACTGGAAAATACGATTTTTTATATAGAGGGCAATGATAACAGATTCAAATCTATTGAGGAAGGCAAAAAGGAAAAGATAATCCACTACTATTAAAGATTAAAGGATTTAGTATTCTCTTCATAATTTCAATTTTTTTACGGTAACCATTTTTATAACTTGGAAATAAAATTTCGGAGATTAATTGTGAATTCAAGTGAGAATGACCCATGAAATAAAATAATTGTTTGTACGTAAAGTAAGGATCTACGTACATCAAATTGTCTTAAAATTAAGTGGTGATAGAAGAATAATCGTTGAACTTTTAAAGTAAGCGTAAATATTAATGCAATGATTGAATAAAGCAATTAATTCTGAGTTCTTCTGTAGAGAGTTTGTTGTTGTCTATTGTATATGGTAGCAGTTTGCTTCGCAAAAAGAAACCTTCACCAACAAGGGACCAGATTGCAATCAAAAGAGCCAAAGCTGCAGCGAGGAGAAGAAAGCCCCGTGCAAATGAAAAATCAGATCAAACGGCATCCAGGAGAGCTAACAAGGTTTAAAATATGCAAAGACTTAGGGACTCACGAGCTCCTGAACAAGCCGATGACCCAAACAAGAGCCCGCCCCATGAGCTAGCTTAAATGCCATTCGATGGGGCAGCTTTTAAGCAAGTATATATATATATATATATATATATATATATATGTGTGTGTGTGTGTGTGTGTGAGAGAGAGAGAGAGAGAGACTTTCCTCATATAGTCTCATTTGCGGTGGACTGGTCATGTCTTGAGAATGTCTAATGACAGGATACCCAACATCCTAATTTGCAGACAGTTAGATCAGGGCTACAGGAATGTAGGACGCCCATGGCTAACAAGTGGAAGATCAACTTGTCAGCTCTCAATATACCTCATGACACCCTTGAGCGCTTAGCCTTGGAGCGTGTTTTAGTGGACTCAGCAGTTTTCAATCTGCATGTCTGAATCGTCTTCAAGAAGCGAGAACAAGATCTCTCTCTCTCTCTCTCTCTCTATATATATATATATATATATGATATATATATATATATATATATATATATATATGAGTGGCAACTGGTCTAGAAGGACAACTCTGAATTCAAAACCTGCGGAGGGTCTATTGGGGACCTTGTGACACGTAGTGCACCAGGTCTCTGTATTCGGCCCTTCAAGAAGAGTGGTTGGTTCTGCACAACGCCTTCACCACCATAATCAAATCACATGTGCTGGTATCTGGCTGTCGCTTCCTAGGAACTCAGCTGCTTGACCCTCATATATCCAATACAGCCTGAGAGTTCGCCATATATATAAGAAATCAATGAGTATTTTTCTCCGACATTAATTTCTACTATTCCAAAAGTTATTCTGAGACGAACTGTTTATTTTTTTTTAATAAAGCGTGACTTACGTCTATATTCCTGTGCATTCGAGAGATTTAATAAATTGATGTCCTCTCCGGTAGGGTTTTAGGATTACGCTTTTTAGGCCTCGGGTCAAACTGCGGTATCTCATGCATAGGGGAAAGCAGGTTTGAACCCTTCCAGAGAGCACTTTTTTTTTTCAAATAAATCTCTCGAGTGCGCAAGCCACAGATGTAATTCACGTTGTTTAAATAAACAAGAAGACTACACACAAAATAGCATTTGGAATAATAATAATAATAATAATAATAATATATATATATATATATATATATAAAAATATAAAAGTGAACATAGAAGTCAACACTTAGAGGCGAAAGTCTGTTTCATGCTATATGCAATCGTCAGGCCACGTGTGCTGTTATTTTTCTCGGCTATTTATACATATACGGGTCAGTGGTGCATTGTGGGTAGTCTATTATGGCGGTTATTTTACCAGAAGTCGTTTATTTAAGAAATTTGTTTATATCACTTATTTAATAGTTTTGTTTTGGTTTGAGAATTTAATTAAAGCCATTTGTTCCGTTTGGGGGTTGGTTGTTGTAGTTTTATTCTAACTGTTATTTTGGCAGAAACAGTTTTTAATTTGTGTTTATTTGGGTTGATTAACTTTATTTGTTTTTTTTTCTAACGGTAACTTTATCGGGATTGGTTAGTTTATTTATTTAGGTCAATTTATTTTACTTCTATATTTTCTCGTTTCGGTTTTCGATTTTTAAGTAACGTAGTATTTATTTATTTGGTTTTTATTTTTATTTTTATTTTATTTTATTTATTTATTTATTTATTTTTTATCGTTATATAACAGTTATAGCTATTTTTTTCGTCCGATTTTTGGGTTTGATTTTTTAGTCTAATATTTTGGTCGTAATGGTTTGCTACTTTGTTTATTATTTACTTTATTTATCTGGGTTCGTTGTTTTTTTTTGTTTTTTTTGTTATCATTATTATTATTATTATTATTCTATTTCGTCTATTCTCTCTATATGAAGAAATATAGTCTTAAGGTATGCTATATTTATGGGATAAAGCGCTCAATATTAGAGATAGAGCATGCGTAAATATCGTGGCCTGACGATTGCATCTAGCATGAAACAGATTGTCGCCTCTAAGTGTTGAGTTTAATGTTCACTTTTTTATATATATATATATATATATATATATATATATATATATATATATATAGCGTTATATTTAGTGGATCCACGTGTTTAAGGATACATTTCTATATTTTTAAACAGTATAAATTTACCGGCGTTGGCTCTCGAAAATCTTAATAAAGGCAATGTACCTAACAACGTGTATGCCTCTTCTAGGCGAAAACTACTGGCCCGGCGTACTTTAAATCGCTCAGCCACAGCAAGCATCCATAACCGGGCAAGATTCAATTAACCTTTTAAAAATACACACCTTTATTTTCGGTCCCTTCAATCGCATATTTGTTAACTTCTTCCGTATCTGAAAAATAAACAAACTACTTTCTAAAGAAAACATAATTTTCATGTTTGAGACATGCCGGACCAAACGGTGGTGTCACACAGTTTAAAACCGCACGCCCAACTGATCCTGATTTCTGAGTTTGTCCTTCTCCTAGACAGGTTACCAATCAAAGCTAGAGAGCACAGTCTACCTTGTTATTTAACTTCTAACCGATAAGGGTATTTATACGAATGCGAGCGTAACCGGGGATATTTATGCGGGGTATATGCATATGCAATGTGATAGGCCCTGACCTGGCATCTCGACTACAGTCACTTTCTCACAGATGTGATGTGGCTTCCATCTTTCTTTTCTACAGATATTTTCATGGCAACTGCTGCGACGAGCTATTTTTACTGCTGCCCCAAATGCATGAATTTAAGCGTACGACTAGGTTGGCATTTCGGTCCCACTCTTTCACTGTCGAAACAGTTAAATGTAACCGCCTCTTTTACTCAAACAGCTTCTTCACTCGGACTTCCCAACAGTGGAACTCTCTTCCTCTTATTTGCTTCCCTGATAATTATAATCTTCAAATATTCAAATGTAATGATAATCGACATTTTCAGATGCCTTGATCCTGATCCCCGTCCTTCTCTTTATCCTTTCGTCAAACACCCCCCTCTTTACTCTTGCTCTCACTCACTGTAACCCCCTGAGTCCTAGTGGCACTCTCGCCTTGCTTGGGGTGATATGCTAAAAAAAAAAAACAAAGAAAAAAAAAAACATACATATATACATTTAAATACATGCACCCTCCTATATATATATATATATATATATATATATATATATATATATATATATATATGAAGAAATATAGTTTTAAGGTGTGCTATATATATGGGATAAAGTGATCAATATCAGAAATAGAGCGTATCTAAATATGAATATAAAGGTAAACATTGGAGTTTCATAAATTGCGTCTAGCATAAAACAGCGTTTCGTGTCTGTGTTGACTTCAATTTTCACTTATATACATATATATATATATATATATATATATATATAACAAAAATTATGTATAACTAAGAGTAATACATGATAATAATAATAATAATAATAGTAAAAAACTATATGCTAGGCCACAGAAATCTCCTGAGCCGACCAAGCATAGAAATGAATACAATATGGGAACCAGTAATAAGGAGTGCCAGAGAAAAGCAATGATAACAACAAAAATTGCAATATGAGCTCTGGTAAAAAATGTTTTCTGATGACATTAGGTTTATAATACTGAGAAATTCATACATAGATGTCCTCGTTGGTTAGATCCAGTGACAGGACCCAAAGAACGTGAGTTCAATACCCGGTTAAGGCAGTGGAGAACTTGAAGAGGGAAATTAACAGGAGACAACTGATAACTGACATCCATTAAATATGGCACCTGGAACTAGAACAGTCTACCCCAGTGAAAGAAATAAAGGGGTCAGTTCGACATTCCAAGCGTACAACGGCCAAAACGTTGTAACAAATATGGCGACAAAGATGAGGACAAGTGTAAATAGTGTAGTAAAAAAAATTTTAAAAAATGAAATAAAACAAATAAAGATAAGAATTAATAAATGAAACATAAATAGAATATAAATAATTAAATAATAAGAAACAATAAAGATAATAAAAAATACTGGTAAAGATAATAAAAGACATATATGATGTAGGCATCCGTATGATAATGACATAAATAATTGAATACATCTATAGAATCATATATACATGTGCGACCATGACATACAAATATATCTTTTACTTGCTCCCCTGATATTTATAATCTTCAAATATTCAAATGTAATGTCTGTTTATTCTTTCATCAAACATCCGACTTTACTTTTACTCTTACTCTCTGTAACCCTTTGCGTGTTAGTGTCACTCTCGCCTTGCTTGAGTTGAAATGCTTAAAAAAATATATACGAACGGTTAGAATCTTACCTTTCTTTTCGACAGCCACGTCGTTAACAATTGTCAAGTTTTGCACCTTGGAATTCTGTCTGAGGACATCTGCACAATGCAGCAGGTTTCCTTTAATGCCGACACAGTGCAAAAGAATTTCAAATGTTGACTCTCGGTTCTGAGCGACACGGGATTCCACATGCTCAATGTTTACCTTGGACGACTGAAAAAAATGATAAGTAAAAGACATTACTATTTTTGTAGCCGACATTAAATAAAATCAGATTTTGAATTCTAAAAACATAATCAGCAAAGGAGAAATTTTCCTACCTTTGGATTTTATTAAATTAACGGAAAAACCCATTAAAACAAAAGGAGTTAATTAGAGTGAAAGACATTAAGAGAGTGTTATCGAGGAGAAAGCACAGTAAAAAAAAAAACAGGATTTATGGAGACAGATGATGACGATCGACATTTCATTTAACTTTTCAAAGATCGCAGTCTATTGGAAAGCCGAAGTATAGTTCCACAAACGAGAATTGCGAGAGAAGAAACGATTAGAATAGTACGTACAGTTATATCTAGCAATTTCAATGGTAAAATGATGAGACCTAACTGCCAATCTAGTGCTGCGCTTAATTTCGTGAAGTTAACATACCAAGAGGAAAGGTCATCCAAACAATTGCCATGCAGAAATGTATAGAAAAAGCACTTTAATTACTTTCGTTTCCGCTTGGAAGTCCTAAAATAGGAGCGGACGTTGTAAAGCTACACGGGGTGCTCAAGAAAAACTGAGTCGTGAGAGAAAAGTGATTAAAGGCGATTAGAAAAATTGGGTAAAAAGGGGGACGACAGGGTCGAATTAAAATGTAGCAATATTTTTTTTTCCTTTTATTTATTTTTTTGAATAAAATCTGTATGGCAAATTATTAGGTACTTACAATTAAGAAACATATTATTTAGGACACACAACTATAAGATACATTGTTCATTGTGGTGTAATTGATATCGACTCGGAGAGCCGGGTTCGAATTCTAATTCGTTAGATTCCCTTGGGAAAAATATGAATCCATCGCTTCTACCCCAGATATGCATTGAATAGTAGGACAGACTGAAATTTTAGCCTTGTTTGGCAACCAGTCTACCACAGAAAGAAATGTTAACCGAATGCGGGACAAAAATCTGTCTAAGCGAGTCTCACGTATACTACCGAACTGACTGATAAGACAAACAAACACATTGTTTTATTATATTTTTTTTCTGATGTCCAAACCTTTATATATATCTTGTTGAGGTTATCTGGATAGGGTGCACCACACACCAGCCAGATCAGACAATCCTTTGGGGAGCAAGGCTCTTGATTTATAGCGGTATGGATATAGCTACGGATGTTCCTGTGATGTTTGGTTATTTGTTTTAAATTCGTTGTATATCTAATACCAATCAAAACTGTCTTCATATGTACATGTAAGGAGGTGCTAGTAAAGTAACATGGGAGGCTAGTGAGCAGAAAAAAAGGTTTAGTATGGTATGGTGTAATGGACATTGGCTCGAAACGAGAACTCGGAGAGATGGATTCAGGCCTGGGAGGAGAAGAGGTGGATTCATGACTGGGAGAAGAAGAGGTAGAGTCATGCCTGGGAGGAGAAGAGGTAGAGTCATGCCTGGGAGGAGAAGAGGTAGAGTCATGCCTGAGAGGAGAAGAGGTGGATCGATGCCTGGGAGGAGAAGAGGTAGTGTCATGCCTGAGAGGAGAAGAGTTGGATTGGTGCATGGGAGGAGAAGAGGACGATCGATGCCTGGGAGAAGAGGTAGAGTCATGCCTGAGAGGAGAAGAGGTGGATCGATGCCTGAGAGAAGAAGAGGTAAATCGATGCCTGGGAGGAGAAGAGGTAGTGTCATGCCTGAGAAGAGAAGAGGTGGATTGATGCCTGGGAGGAGAAGAGGTGGATTCATGACTGGGAGGAGAAGAGGTAATGTCATGCCTGAGAGGAGAAGAGGTGGATTGATGCCTGGGAGGAGAAGAGGTCGATCGATGCCCGGGAGAAGAAGAGGTGGATCGATGCCTGGAAGGAGAAGAGGTGGATCGATGCTTAGGAGGAGAAGAGGTGGATTCATGCCTGGGAGGAGAAGAGGTAGTCATACCTGGGAGGAGAAGAGGTAGATCGATGCTTAAGAGATAGAAGAGGTAGAGTCATGCCTGAGAGGAGAAGAGGTGGATTGATGCCTAGGAGGGGAAGAGGTGGATTCATGACTGGGAGGAGAAGAGGTAGAGTCATGCCTAAGAGGAGAAGAGGTAGATTGATGCCTGGGAGGAGAAGAGGGAGTGGCATGCCTGAGAGGAGAAGGGTTTGATTTATGCCTGGGAGGAGAAGAGGACGATCAATACCTGGGAGAAGAGGTGGATCGATGCCTGAGAGGAGAAGAGGTGGATCGATGCCTGGGAGGAGAAGAGATGGATCGATGCCTGGGAGGAGAAGAGGTAGTGTCATGCCTGAGAGGAGAAGAGGTGGATTGATCCCTGGGAGGAGAAGAGGAGGATTCATGACTGGGAGGAGAAGAAGTAGAGTCATGCCTGGGAGGAGAAGAGGTGAATTGATGCCTGGGAGGAGACGAGGTGGATCGATGCTTAGGAGGAGAAGAGGTGGATAGATGCCTGGGAGGAGAAGAGGTAGAGTCATTCCTGGGAGGAGAAGAGGTGGATCGATGCTTGGGAGGAGAAGAGGTGGATTGATGCCTGGGAGGAGAAGAGGTAGAGTCATGCCTGGGAGGAGAAGAGGTGGATCGATGCCTAGGAGAAGAGGTAGATTCGTGACTGGGATGAGACGTGGTAGCGTCATGCCTGAAATGAGAATAGGTTGATTCATGCCTGGGAGGAGAAGAAGTAGAGTCATGACTGGGAGGAGAAGAGGTGCATTCATACGGCATTTGCCTATTAAGTCATGGCCCCCAAAAATGGGAACATTTTAACAATTCAATAAAACCAAGAGTGATGGAAGAAAAATATTTCATTCATAGTAATTGAAACCTTAAAATATGCCATTTAAGAAAAAGGATGGAATTTTCATTTTTGTAGATGGCGTCTTCTTGTACGAATGCATTCTTGAAATCTGCTGTTGAGATTCCTCATTGACTGCTGCAACATCTCAGCTGGGATACTGTGAATTTCATCTTGAATTCTAAATGGCGAAATGTTTACTTGCTCAAGGTCAATGTCTCGCAGTGTTGCCACTTGTTCATGTCTGGTAATACGCACTTCAAAAATTCCCGTTTTTTGGGGGTAACCCTATATTTTTAGATTGTAACATTTTTTAGGTGGGGGAAGATAATAATGGTTTAGGGATACAAGTCTGACTAATTAACCCATAGATGGGGGAGAAAAGATGGATTCATAATTTTCTCAAGGGTATTTGCACGTAAGTGAATATAACGAACCCAACTGGAATATATATATATATATATATATATATATATATATATATATATATATATATAAAATCGGGAGGAATTTCTAGCCCAACAATCAATTATGATTTCGGGGTTGATAATCTCCTAGACTGGTCAGCAACCAAAGATCGAGAGCCATAGCAGCTCTGCTACTGATCCCTTGCTGAGGGAACTGTCAGAGATGGTGTCATGCCTTTTCAAAAGTATTGGTACGAAATCAAGCGCAACTTTATCGAATGGAACTTAAACTCGACAAGCCAATCTGACTTTCGGCGCTGATAACCGCTATGATACCCGCACATCCATATCTTCATATATTTTTTTCTTAATAGGAGTAGATAGGTTCGTTTATCGTCCAGTTCATACTCTTCCCCGGTCTTTTGAACGGAAGTAGATGTTTATCCTTTTTCTTCCTGTTTATAATTCGGTTTCCGGTTCCTTCTAATGTCTTTCCATTTTCTTTCACGTCCAAGTAGCCCCTTTGCGTCTTAGTGGCATTATCACTTTGATTGGGGTGAATTGATGAAATTGCGTGGATTAAAGTTCACCCTTTTATTTGTTATAAATGTAAAAATTGACCCCCACCTGGTTAAATTAACTACCATTGGAACTGTCAGTGAAGCATACTTTATAAAAATACGATGCGAGTAAGAAATATACCTGCAAAGAAGTAGAAACGTAGACAGTGTGTACCAATCTAGATCTATTTCTGGACGCAATACGGACAAAAAAAATATCAGGAATAAATAAAACAGCGGGAAGAAAGAAGAAAAAACTTTTATTTAATCTGAAATTCCTCGTTTGTAAGCGATGTACAATTTTGCGAAGACGACATCTGAAATCAATCTGGAAATAATCGAGACGCTACATAAAAAATTCAAATGATCAATGTCAACATCCTTTTTTGTTTTTTCTTATTTTATTTGCAATCATTCATTTGATTGATTTGTTAGAATATGTTAAAAAAATGCTTATAGATACAAAAATAACGATCACTCGAATTACGACAATACATTACTTCATCGAATGCAGAATTGATTACAGCATTTGACAGCACCGAAAACGCCATTCTTCGTCTAAATTAAACCTTGAAAAGCTATGTTTTTGAGGAAGAATGTAGCAATTGCTTATGGTGGAGGCCGAATTCGATTTTGTAAAAAAAAAAAAAAAAAAAAAAAGCTCCATGAAGAGTAATTTACAAGAAGTTGTTCTACAGAAGACCTCCTGAGTATTTACAATATGTTTGACCTCAGCCTAAAAGTTAGGTACTCGTTGAGAATTGAAATTACCAAGCATGAAACTGAAGTTCTGTCCACATTAAATAATACCGCAGTTTACCGACTGTAACTGCAAAATTGTCCAAATCGTGTAACAACAAAATTGTCCAAATCGTGTAACAGCAACATTATCCAATTGTTAAATTGAGCTCTGCAACGTAATGATGAAAGATATCTTACTGGAGTTCTCCGAGGTTTTTATAACACTATTGGACTCTACTTTGAACAATCAGAATCTATAATTAATCTACAAGCTTAAAGTAGAATCGTGATGAAATGGATCATAAACGAAAATTACATGTTCATCATCGATTAATCCTAGCTAAGGTTTGGAAGCTCATGAAGGAGTGATATAAAGTTCAAATCTCCTGAAAAATTAATTTCAGTTGAGCTCTCTGGGGAGGAGTTGTGGGTTTGTAAACAGTGACTATTATAGCTGATATAGCGAGACTCTTCGGCAAAAGCGAATTGAGTCACTGTCGGTCACAGCGTGTGTTTATCTAAACGACGGCTTAGTGGTAGAATCTCCGACTGACACCAACTCAGTCGGGTTTCGATCCTAGCTAGAGGCAACCGGATGTCTAGCCACACAGAAGAGCTGCGAAACAGTCTGTCTTAGATTTATGCCTGTGGATGACTTTATATATATTATATTATATTAGGCAGTATATATTTTATATTATAAAGAGATAATCATACATTGAATACATCATGGCCTCATCGTCAGGGTGTATTTTTTCCTTTATAATCAAAACTTGAAGACGAAATAAATGTGTTGAAGACCGAAAGATGTTTTTTTTAAGAATGTGTTATTTATTAACAGTTGTATGATGATGATAATCATGATGTCTTTGAAAGTACTTGCTTCTATAAAAAATACACCAGATCCATCTGACAACAATTTTAGGCATAAGGATCGCATCATTCAGTGGATTGTTGATAGTTTAATGCATATATAAAGTCTATTAGCAAAGAGATTTCGCCATTAATGGCATTAATGTTGCTAATTGATTCAATGTATGATTATCTCTTTTATATATATATATATATATATATATATATATATATATATATATATAAAGTTTCAAATTAAAAATTATAATGTTTTATTTTATGAAAGTATTTATTTATTTATATATATATTTGATATTTCAAATTGTCCTCAATTTTACATCAGAAATAACTGTTTGTTACAAATAAATTAAAATTACTGTTTGTTAGCAAAAATATATATAAATAAATAAATACTTTCATAAAATAAAACATTATAATTTTTAATTTGAAACTTTTTTCTATATATACATATTAAGAAAGTATACGTGGCTTCTCATTATGCTATATATATATATATATATATATATATATATATATATATATATATATATATATATATATTAGAATTATGAGATTGAATATTTATCATCTGAGGTATTTTCATGTTAAATTAATAATTTAACTTAAATTTAAATATACCAATCTTTAACTATCAATATTGATAGTAAAATATTAAATTAATTTTTTTTGTTATTTAAACACTTCAGATGTCACCTAACGTTAAACATTAACTATGAAATTAAACAAAAATCTAAATAAATTCAAATATAAAAAGATATGTAATTATTTATAAATGTATCTGTATGTAATTTATGTATGAATATGTATAGGTACCTCTGTATATCGCTACATGTGTGTCTATGTGTGTAATTACGCATGTAAATGAACATATATATATATATGAGATTTTTGCATGAGTATGTATGTGATATATATAAGAAGAAAGCAAAATCTTTAATATTACCCTCAAATATTACTCCATTTTAATTAAACCTAAACTTTAAGTAAGAAAGATTACCCATATAAAAATAATTACAAATTGCATTCATAAATTAGATTTAAAGATGTCACTGTAACTATTTTTTACAAGTACGATCGGTCGGGTAAACAAACTGTTATAATTGAAAAAATTTTTTTTTAATATGTTATCTATAAATGTGTTAATAAATATAGTATTTAACTTATATTAAATCCCTAAACTATTTGTTTAAAAAAAATTAAATATTTAAATTGATAGCAAACATCAAATTAATTTATTCGGGTTTTTTAGACATCTAAATTACTATCAAGCATTAAAATCTATTCTTTACATAAATTGCTAAAACCCAATTACAGCCTCTTTCTCTTTACTTCCCTCTCCCTCTTCTTTCTTTTTCCTTTTTCTTTTCTTCCTTCTCCCTCCCATTTCAATATATCACTTCCGTTAAGTTAACCGTCTAAATAGGTCAAGGTCTGGTCACTCCTCCTCCCCCAATACAAAGTATGCTTGAGAGAGATATGAAATTAATTCCTCCCTATACTCTACCATGTCTCTTTAACTACCCCTTTTACACTCTCTGTTAAATTACAATAACTTACACTACCCATCAATTTTAATTTCATTTTTCGTTTCATTTCATTTTTGGAAGTGCTATCTGATGATCCGGCGTCCTTTAAAAGGGCTCTGGTGAAATAAATTATTATAATGGTACCTTAAAGTGGTCTGTTTTTTTTATATATATATATATATATATATATATATATATATATATATATATATTATTCCAAGGTCATTTTCCAATTTATTCAAGATGATCTTTACCCTCTCTAACCTTGTAACTTTGTGTCCTGGAGTAACAAGTGCCTCGGAGTTTTCGTGTACGGTTACATTTTCAAGTTTTTTTTCGCAGCTCTTTGGGTTGTTATAGCTGAAACTCCTCTCTCAAGGGTCAAACGTCTTATGGATTTATTTGGATCTTTTCTAATTGTTCTCTTTAGCTCTAAGTTCAAATGATGATCCTCTTCTTGTTGCGATCTCTTAATCCAGTTTTCTACTCTACTCTTCCCTATATTTTTAAACATATTCACCGTTCTCTTGATGTTTCTTGAATAAACTTTGAAGATGGACGCCAAAATATGAATGTTAGTACCATTACTGAACGTCTGAATGATCTATTCCCTCTCACCATTGCTCAGTTGGGAAGACACAGTAGGGCTGATACAAAACGCTTTTAACCTGTTCTCTTTCTAGCTGAATAATGCAAAGGGTTTTTCAGTTATTTTTTACAAATGTCATTTCTGAAAGCCTAGAAAAAAGAAAGTCAATTAGTTTAGTTGGGCTTTTACATATTAAACATTTTGTGGGACGGGCAATTATGTTGTTA